ATCCTCAGTTTTCGCTGATATGCACTACTGATCATGTCTTATATATTTTGTTCACTGTCTGTAAGCTCCGGCGGAAAGTTCTGGTTGTTCCTCCACTAGGCATGCGTTTTGCGTGCACATCCGTTTTACTGGTTTATTTGTGTGCAGTTGGTTGTTCCTTGCCGTTTGGGTAGATGCATTCCGACTTCGAAAGAAGCCCACAGTCGGTCGATTCCTACGATATGCTTGTTAGGGAGGTGGTGTGGGGAGGTGGTGTGGGGAGGTGGTGTGGGGAGGTGGTGTGGGGAGGTGGTGTGGGGAGGTGGTGTGGGGAGGTGGTGTGTTTATCTCGTTTTCCCCCACAACAGGACCCCGGAACGTACACATGGATGATATTTTATAATACAGAAGCTGTTCCGTGCACGTTGCCTCACCCCCTGCCCTACCCTTTTTTCCCTGCAACATTTGTTGTAGGAACATACACCAGTTTTCCCATGATGACAACCCACAGAATGCATTTTTATCTTCTTTAAGATGCAGGAAAGTTTTGCTGCGTGTGCCCCTTTTATTTACATAATTAATCAAGAATTAATTTGTGTGAGTACACGTTTTTCTTATTAGCAGGAATTCGTCAAGTCTTCAAAGACAGGGCAGAGAAATTGCCAGAAAACAGCGATTCCCAAACCAAATTGGTGGCGGGATGCACAGATAGTCAAGGTTCTCGACACAGCTGTAACATATATCGAGATTTATTTCTTGTTACAGTTTGTTACATGTCAAAATAATACAGTAAATATGAGTTTATAAACCCGTAAATTGTGCACAAGTTTGCATATTGTGTTCAGTTTATGTAATTAATTGAATATCAAACAGATTTGGAGAAAAAAAAAAGGCTTTGCCGCAATGTGAACTATAAATGTACCTTTTAAAATGCGCTTCAGTTTTATTCGCTTAGTATTACAGACGACAACTTCTGGTTAGTTATTTCACTTGTTTTCAAACGGATTGAATGTTGAATGTTGAAATAAGAATCGACATCATAGCACTCGGAACATTCCCATTAGCGCTCCGTCCCCATCTTCAGCAGCAAACTAAGAGTTCCAATTCCGATGGCACCAGTAACTGTCTGATTGTATATCCGTCTCGCCTTTCCCTTGAGTGTTTTCAAATGGGACAGTGAAAGACTTTTGTGATCTCCACTGGCAGAAGAACGGAACAGTAATCGAGCGACCTGTTTGCAGTCTTGCTGGACTTCTTCTTCACTTCCTCTTTTACCGCTGTGGGTGTCGAGGGAGATATAAGGTTCTGTTTCTAGCTCTTCTGGCTGCCTCGACCATAGGCACATCGTGCTGTTGTAGAGTTTCTCTGATGTTATCCTTCCATCTTGTTCCTGGTCTACCCCGTGCTCTACGTCCTTCTTTTATTTCCATGTATGCTTTGTATGGTAAGGTGTCACAAGGCATTCTCTCTAAGTGGGCAAACCATTTCACTTGCTGTCTTTGTATGTAATCCAGAATTGGTTCTGTGCCGACTTGTTCTCTTATGATCTCATTCCTTATCTTATCTCTTATGGTCACTCCTACAGCCCTTCTCAGACATCTTATTTCCGTGGTTACTAATTTTCTTTTATGGTTTGTTGTGAGTGACCATGTCTGGCACTGGTAGCACAGAGTTGGAATAAATATGCTTTGAATAAGATGTCTCTTTGTGCTGATTGGGATTGTCTTATGCTGTAAGAGGGGGGCTTTACTGCATCTAATGTCAATTTCTTTATCCAATTTCCCATCTTCGGTAAATGTAGTTCCCAGATATTTAAACTCAGATGCCTGTTTAATGCCTTTGTATTCTATTGCTATGTTTAGATCTGTCTTCTTTTTTCCTATTGACATTACTTCTGTCTTTTCAGTGTTGATTCTCATATTATTTGTTTTACATTCTTCATTCATGGATGTTAGATGTTGTTGCAATTTCATGGCTGTATCTGCTATCAAGGCCTGGTCATCTGCAAAGAGTAATTCGTTGATCTTACTAAGATCTTCATTCATGGGCTTGGCATTCTTGCATATACTGTCGATGTAGGTGATAAACAGCAGTGGTGATAAGACACACCCCTGTCTTACTCCCGATGTCACTGTGAAAGGATGAGATGTTCCCTGATTTATTCTAACTACACTTCTACAATCCCTGTATAAACTTTTGCACACTTCGATGAGGTGTTCGCTTACTCCATATCTTGCCATTATTTTCCATAATAATTGTCTGTCGACTCTGTCAAATGCCTTTTCCTGGTCTACGAATGCCACAAATAAGTTCTTATTGTATTCAATGTTCTTTTCTATTAACTGTTTAAGTGTGAAGATTGCATCTGTGCAGCTTCTATTTCTCCTAAATCCCATCTGTTCTTCTGCCAGCTGTGGTTCTATCACTGGTCTCAGTCTTGTTTCTATTATCTTGGCATACATTTTGCCAACATGGCTTAAAAGAGAGATGCCTCGATATTGACCGCATTTTCGTTTGCTTCCTTTGTTCTTCCACAATGGTCTTGCTGGACTAACTACCTATATTCGGTTCTATGTAAGTAATAAATCCTTAGGACAGGCTTCTTCATCTTCTTAAAGTGCATGTCGTGTGGCGATGGGAATCATATCCACAGACGTCTGTATCTTGTACTTTGAATCAACTCTCACACCACAAGCCAGTTATCCCTGTGGTAACTTTTCTTAAAACTCTTAAAGTCAAAAGGATCGATTGCCATGATGTCTTTTCTCTCGGTCTCCCCCTGCCTCTCATCCCCTCTAACTTTCCTACTGTCACGATGTACTCCAGTTATTCTCCTTCTCACCATACAACCAAAGAATGTAAATTGGCTGTTTCTGATATGTGCAATCTGTTCTCCCTTCGTGTGTCAGTTTCTTTTATGGATAGACAGTTCTGATTCAATGCTTGTTTTGGACTGAAAGAGTTTAAGCAAAAGTGGTAGCTGATGACGATAATGATGATTGTAAATGGAGTAATCACAACCTTGTATCACACCTGCAACATAGTGTACATATTTGATGTCTGGTGAAGTTTATGGCAAATTTGTTTCTTGTTTTACATAAATATAATTTTACAAAATAAAGACATTATAGGTGCAAACAATAAATAAATGGAAAAGTAGTGTATAAATTCAGATGTCCCCCCTCCCTCTGCTCTTTCTCTCGCACTCTCTCCTCTTTATTCCTCCCCCTTTCCCACGGCACACCCTCACTCTCCTTTCCTTTCTCTCTCTCCTTGACTTTATCTCTCCCATCCTCTCTCTTATCTCTCTCCTTTACTTTATCTCTCCTTTACTTTATCTCTCCCTTCCTCTCTCTCACTCATCTCTCTCCTTTACTTTATCTCTTCTTTACTCTATCTCTCCCTTCCTCCCTCTCACTCATCTCTCTCCTTTACTTTATCTCTCCTGTCCTCTCTCTCTCTCTCTCACTCATCTGTCTCCTTTACTTTATCTCTCATGTCCTCTCATCTCTCTCCTTTATTTTATCTCTCCCGTCCTTTCTCTCTCACGCATCTCTCCCCTTCCGTTCTCTCTCAGCTCCTCTCTACTTGCATTGATTATATTCACTGTCAATTTACAGTGATAAAGAATATGTATGGCATTATTTATAATATTGAAATAAATGTTTTATTTGGCCCCCATAAACTTTCTGGCATATCAAAACATTATAATAGCAGTACTCACATTATAATGAGTGGCGCCTGGTCAAGAAGTTAAAACACTGGGCCAGTTTGGCGGAACCAGGTTCTTTTCCTCTGCAAAACGATGGGATTTTGTTTAAAGAAACATTCCAATATGATATCCGTATAGGAATTAGTGATATCCAAAAATCAGTAAATTCAAAAATTATGTTTGTCCAATGTCTCCTGTGTACCGCTAGGCACACATTGCAATTTAACATAGGATAAGTAATCGGTGCGCGCTCTAGCTGTTAAATTTGTATTTGGACTTCTGTTGTTTCTGTAAATTAAAGCTAAACGTAAAGCAGTGACTATCAACATTACATGCAGTCTTCTCTGATTATCGCTAAGGTATATTTGTAATCTGATAACATTAAGTACCATACACATTTTTATTTGGTAGCACATTTACCCTAACACAAATCAACAATATAAGTTATGAGAACAAATGAGAGAGAAAGTAACAAGGCAATTCTCAAATAACACAAATATTTACATACATAATATATACTAATCCATACAAATGCTTTTCTCTTCAAATGCATGACTGAAATTAAAGTACTCAGAGAATATCTACTTAATCTGGAATTTCCAAAATATATTATGATGGCGGCAATGTTTTCGGCCTCTCTCAACAATGTTTTTTCGTCTCGTTCACCGGCTGTTAACTTCACTGGAAAGTTCCGACTGTTTGTCCACTCCCGAGCTTTGGTTTTGATCAAGAACTTGAGGTTTGCGTGTTCATCCGTTTTACCGATATGGCCTAGTTGCACGCAGACTGTTCGTTTCTTGCCTCTCTGGCAGATGCACTCCAACTTTGAAGGAAATACTCCTAATTAGTCGGCTTCTATGATATGCCTGTTAGAGAGGCAGTGAGTCTATTCATTGACCGCAAAAATGGAGTCCCGGAAACCACATGGCGATAAAACAATTCTGACACACATGATCCTCAATGCCATGATATAAAAATGTAAAGCATCTTCTCTCCCTCGGTCTCCCTTTGCATCTGGTACTAGTCTGGTCATGTGATAGGTCAGGTGACCCTAAACAACCTCTAGTACATCTCTGGTAGATTATTTAGTCTAGGTTCCCTCGACTGTTCCCATGCACATTCAAACCTAAAACCTTTGGGCTAGTAGTCTGCGCCTAGCCACAGTGGCCCTCTTTCTCCCTAGTCATATATCATGTTAATTTGTTATAAGTACCAACAGAGAAGGCTGTAATGTTTGTTTACTTACATAAAACATTAGCAAACATGAAAAACTGCTGGGGAGTTAACAATAATAAATATGCAAATAAACTTAGTAAGGTCGCCAAACACTGATGTGGTCTGAATGTTCATCACTGCTTCTTCTGCTAACGGGAGATCTCGATGAATCCGATCTTCCCCCGTGAGATGACACCGATGAAGCAGAGGCTGTCATAGGATAGTGGATGGTTTCTGATCTGAGGGACAGATCTCCCATTTCAAGATCTGAAATCTTCCTCTCCAAGATGTGTCTGCTAGAAAGTGAAATGGGAATCGGTTTTTCTATACGATGTATGACATGGGGATCTGAAAGTCTTGGTGGACCATGGCCGTTGTAGAACTTGTCCTCCATCTGCCTCCTGTCAAACATCCCGTCACTGGCCTGGCGAACAGGTCTTAACACTTCAAATGATTTCTCTTCTAAGCTTCTGGAGCTGGATAGCCGTCTCTTGTAGTATTTGCCATCTGTGCTTGATCGAGACTGACTGGGAGATTCATAGCTCTTGTCATCAAAATCTGGGTGCTGTCCCAGGATCTCGTATGATTTGTCTCCTGGTGATGTGTGGTGATGGGAGTTCTGGGACAACATCTGTGGGTAGATGAAACTGTTGGAGAGATGGGTAGGGGATGGGGTGATATAGGATGAGAATGAAAGGGTAACGGGAGTGGTCCCATTGTTTATGTAGTCAGGATGAGACAGCAGAGGAAAGGAAGCACGCACTGGAGAACGTGACTGCATGGACTGTGGGACTCTTTCATCTAAATGTCTTGAATTGAGAACTCTGCTGTCATGTAGTGAAGAAGCCGTGATGTTTGGGTGGGTGTCATTTTTAGATTCTTGCAGGACTCTTGAGTGATTGTCTGAGGCAGAAAAACCGGTGTCTATCCCATGACCATCAGACATGGACAAGTTGATGGCGTTTTCTGAAGAGGGTCTAGTTGCAGAATGATGTCCATGGAATGTCAGAGCTGCCCTGAGGTCTGATGGATGTTCCATAATAACTCGATTCTCGTATTCACTTGCATGTCTGTTTGTTTCCCTTCCGTTTACTTGAGGTGCCAAGGACAAAGCTTGCATGCTATGTGGTTCTAACATTGAACCAGCATGCATTCGTCTGTTATCTGACAAGTGAGATGAGGATACAATTCGATTGTCTTCCAAGATTGCCAGGTTAGAGTTTCCCGTTGACAACTGGAGTATTTGTGATGAGGGCTGCAGGTTTATCTCAGCAGTGTATAACTGTTCAGAGTGTCTAGAATCATGCAGTGGAATATCCACACCATTTGAAAAACGCTGAAGCAAAATGGGAAGTCTTGACTCCAAGGCAAATCTCGAGGTTGTGCTCAAAGTGAGACACGTAGAAGACTCTAGAGGAATCCGTGAAGTCTGTGGGCTTAGTTCATACCTGACATTCAAAGGTACTGCCACCTGACCATCTTGGGCTGCAAGCGTTTCCTCTCTGGGATGAAGATGAGACCGATGGTGCAAAGAAACCGATCTTTGGTGATCTGGAGATGAAGATCTGAGAGTCTCATACCTCTGTGATTCTAAAGTTGGAGGAGGTGATGGGTGCTGTCTGTCAAGACTGCTGATTAAAATTGAAGACCTTGGGTTATCTGATAACATTGGAAGTGGCGAACCGCGACCATCACTGCCAATCATTCTTGATGGCGGGGTGTGGATGCTGATTCCAGGTTGGTTGGACAACATCCGCTCGTGGCTGGCGTGTGAAAGTGGGATGCCAGTTCTTCCATCGTGACTTGAATGTATGTGAGGGATAGCAATCCTTCCATCATGAACAATGGTATCGCTGGATGAACCTGTCGGCAAAAGAAAACAAATAGGATCAGAAGAAAATATCTCATTATCTTCTTCGTGTGCTATCTTGTTTCTTCATTATATCCCGCCCTCGGTGTATTTCCGTATACCTTTTTTATTATGTTGGGTTGTCGACGACGACCATAAAATAGAATCAAACAAACTACCAACAGGGAAGAAACTATGACAAGTAGCGTCAGTAGTGGGGATAACAGCAGCAGCAGTAAGTTTTGTTCCTTTTTCACGCCTTTAGGCGCATCGGGCATATGGGAAGAGCACCCATATTTTTACAGACCAATCAACCTTAGGTGGGTAATATGGTCATCATTACGGCGGCCGTCTTTACTTCCCCAGGACAACACCCTGGTACACATTTTAGGCTGGGCGGACCTGCGACGTCCCATACCATGATAAAAATCCACGCAGCCAGCAGTGGGTTTCGATCGCGGTACGTTGGAATTACCAGTCTGACTCGCAACACCTAAGTCACGGAAAGCAGCAGTAATAAAATCATAAAATCATGTGCCGTCCTCGCAATGAAGGTATGATGTAGTGTAGCACTTTGGGAGGGGGGGGGAGGTTGGAGGGGGATGTGTGGGGTGGGGGGTATTTCGTGGTAAGGTCCTAGTCTCCTTCACTATGAGACTTAGGTATTATAAGCCGAGAACTAAAAATATTTTTTTTTTTGCATTTTTTTAAAGCCACCCACCGCAGGAATCAAAGCTTAGCACTCGGGCATCACGAAAGTGTTAATCGCACATGCTTGCCGCTAAGCTACTGAGTCAGCAGTGATTGTACTATAGCACTAGAGGCAGCAGCGAATGTAATGTAGTCTTGGTTTTGGTGGTAGTGTAGTGGTATAAGTAGCAGAAGCCGCAGCAGTGGTGGTAGATTTTAGTGTGTTATAATAAATGTTAATCACTGAATGACAATTACTTCTTAAAGACAATGCCCTGCAGCGTTGTTAGTCACGACTAGCGACAACCTTCTGCTTCGTGTAATTTCAATCAGTCATCGGAACACGTAACGTTAATCTCCCCACTTACCGCCTGTATACACACTAGCTCACTTCTGATTAGTACTTCCTGAACCTGTCACCTTGGCACAAGGTTACGGGGGTGTTTCGCAATGCCGTTGATATCGCGTGTTGTATATTTCAGCACGCCAGTGCTTTTAACGCTCCAAAAATATGGAGCAACTGGCCCTAACACAACCACCCTAGAGACCTATGTCACAGGCATTTTCTTTCTCGCAATGAAAACGTAAATGCACAACAACACAGAAAGCAAACAACAGAGCGGGACACACCCGTAATCTTCAGGACAGTCGACCGGCTTAACAAACTTGTGAATGAAAAGTTACCTACTCTATTTGGGGAGATTAACGTTACTTTAACCCAGATGGTCTATCTTGCATGCAATGATGTCAAACCTCTCTTCATCTTCTTTCTCGGTATCCCTTTGCCTCCCCCCTCCTTTAAAAAAAAAATATCCAGAAACCATGAGTTCTTAACCCTTTGGCTCGGTACTATGGATATCGCAACCCTTCGGCCTTGATTCCATAATAAATACTGTAAATCTGGGAGAAACGTGGCTTTTCTGTCTACCCCCGGGCGGGAACCTGGACCACATGGAGTTCGTCACCCGATCGTTGCGAAGTCAGGTTTTGCCAACTACGCTAGCGAGCCGGGCTTTCCCCCCTTCAACTTAGCCACTTTCACGATGTACTCCAGTTTTATTCTTCTCATGCCATCGACACCCCCCCCCCCCCCTCACCCCCCACAAACCCTCAACAATGTAGGTGATCTCTTCTGGTGTGAGCAAACAGTTCTCTAGTATGGCAAATACGTATAATATATTTTCAATAACATGAGACATGTAAAAGAATACAAGTAAGGAGCTCCTATGCATGGTTGTGAATGCAAAAGAAAAAAAAAAAAGGGGGGGGGTTGGGGGGGGGGGGGTGAGGGCAGGGTAACCAAATGCCAGCGTAGGATTTAGACTTGATAAGGCCCTAAGCTATATAAAGCCCTGAGGCCCTTCACGTTTTAAATTACCCCAGGTAATCTCATAAAACAGTCAAATGAATACGCCTTTTAAGTATACTGATAATGGAAATATATAGTTGTTACATTTCTTTTAACTAAAAGAAATAATAAACAGTAAGTTTGCAAAGTCACTGAAACTATATTATATATTTATTTTAAAAGGCTGTATAAAAAGAAAAATGCTATTTAAGTACATTAAAAGAACATTGCATTGGTGAAACATCAAATACGAAGGTGGTGAGGGCCTTACATATGGTCAGGCCCTTAGCTGCAGCTCATTTAGTTTACGCATCAGTCTAGCATGGTTCAGTTCCCAGGTTCCGCCCTTTCTGGTCCACTGCCTTTTGCGTCGTATACATTCTAATTAGGAAATTTCGTTAGGTTCATCATCAAGTGCCTTTCCGACTGGCCTGCGCGATCATGCCTCTCCACAATCTGCGATCTGCAACTGCCTGTATCAGTTCGTGTGTTGACACCCCCAATGAGATGACAAAAAAAAACTGTCAAGAATCTTTTCACGCTGTCTTCCTCTGTCTCTTTCCCCATAGATCTTTCCAGTGGTCACAACATGCTTCATTTTCCCTTTGCTCATAACATGATCAAAACAATGATGACTGTCTCTTTCTGATGTTTGCGATGTCTTCGAGCTTTCGACTCTTTCAAAACATCTGCGTTGCTCTTCTTAGTTGTCCAAGGAATTGTGATAATTCTATAAACCCCCATCTCCGGAGCCTCAATCGTTACGATACCGTGTGTATTTTATTCATTTACTTACCGCGGTAAACTAGCTCATCCCTTGCAGGGCCTCCGTGTGACCTGTGCTGTCCAGTCTCTTTACTGTAGGGAATGGTTTCATAACCCCACGATCTTTGACCTTTTGAAGAAAAAAAAGAAAGGTGATGTAGGAACATTAATATCTGGATGGCGCTCTTTTGTACGCACAAGAGTGTAGATTATACCAGGTTAAGCATTTTGTGTAGTCATTACGATTTTCTTATTACAACTTCTTGAAAGGGTATACACGTGAGGGGTCCTGCTGGACGATGCTAGCTGCGCACGCATAATTGGTCAACAGCAAAGCGACGAGGAGGAAAATATCAGGTGTTTCCTCTCCAATGTGATTGTTTTTTTTTCTAACGCTTACACATGGGAACTGATTCCGCCTCTCCTCTGAAGGTTATAATGTCCCCCCCCCCCCCCCCCTCCTTTTCCGGCAGTTACAAAGTAACCAAAAATCCAGACGACGCAGGGAATAATGGCATAGAGAACACGCACAGTACAAGCCGACAGCGCTAACCACGCGGCTCTTCAGTGGCGAAGTGGTCAAGCCAGTTGCCTTGCGCTCTGAAGCCTGTGGGTTTGTTTCACGGCTGGGTCGTTCAGTTCATGAGTGCCATTTTTACGGAGATCCCCGAGGATCATTGCTGTAGCTACGAAGTTCGTGCATTGTGGTTAACCGTTCTGCAGAGATGGACCGAGCCATAAGGTGCAATGAAGTTCATCCTCTCGACTTTAACCTTTAAACCTTGTTTAGCCTTTAACATTTGTAACCCTCAATCCCAGGACATATGAACCTTCTTCCTACCCAACAAAGCTCCAAAAAATAGTAAATACAAGCAACAAAAACCAAGTGAAAGCTGTATGCTTTTATTTCTAGAGAAACCTTTTTTTTTCTAAACGTTAAAAAAAAAGTTCCTAAACAGCGAGCAGTTAAGCTTCATTGTTGTTGTTTTCAATATGTTTGTTTCGTTTTATTATTGTTATAAGTTTCTAAGATCCCTATGTCAGAATTTTTTGTGAGAAGAAACCTCTTCCAAATTAATAAGAGTGAGAGGGAGTAAGAGAGAGAAAGCGTGCGGTGAGAGGCAAAGAAAGCGACACCCACAGAGAAGATAGCGACAGACAGAGAGAGAGAAAGACAGAAGAGTGCGAAAAAAAGGGGGTGGGGGCAATAGGCAGAGACAGGAAAAAAAAATACAGCCACAGAAGGTAAAAAGAAAGACATAGATGTGTGTGAGAGGGAGGAGGGGGGTGGGGAGAGAAAGTCAGAGAAGGCCAAACCAGGAAGATAGAAACAGATAACAAAAACAGAGTGAGAAAAAGATGCAGAAAGACAGTCATGAAAAAAAAAAAAAAGAAACAGAAATAGAAAATAAAAGAGAGAGGGAGAAAATGAAAGAGTGGAAGAAGAAGTGACATAAAGTGAAGAAAGAGAGGGAAGGAAGAAAGAAAGAGGTGACGTAAGGTACGGCAAAATCAACAGTGTGAAGAAAGAAACCGACCGACCTACCGACCGACCGACTGACCGACCGACCGACCGACCGACAGATTAGATAGATAGATAGATAGACAGACAGACAGACAGACAGACAGACAGACAGACAGACAGACAGACAGACAGACAGACAGACAGACAGACAGACAGACAGACAGACAGACAGACAGACAGACAGACAGACAGACAGACAGACAGACAGACAGACAGACAGACAGACAGACAGACAGACAGACAGACAGACAGACAGACAGACAGACAGACAGACAGACAGACAGACAGACAGACAGACAGACAGACAGACAGACAGACAGACAGACAGACAGACAGACAGACAGACAGACAGACAGACAGACAGACAGACAGACAGACAGACAGACAGACAGACAGACAGACAGACAGACAGACAGACAGACAGACAGACAGACAGACAGACAGACAGACAGACAGACAGATAGACAGACAGACAGACAGACAGACAGACAGACAGACAGACAGACAGACAGACAGACAGACAGACAGACAGACAGACAGACAGACAGACAGACAGACAGACAGACAGACAGACAGACAGACAGACAGACAGACAGACAGACAGACAGACAGACAGACAGACAGACAGACAGATAGACAGACAGACAGACAGACAGACAGACAGACAGACAGACAGACAGACAGACAGACAGACAGACAGACAGACAGACAGACAGACAGACAGACAGACAGATAGATAGATAGATAGATAGATAGATAGATAGATAGATAGATAGATAGATAGATAGATAGATAGATAGATAGATAGATAGATAGATAGATAGATAGATAGATAGATAGATAGATAGATAGATAGATAGATAGATAGATAGATAGATAGATAGATAGATAGATAGATAGATAGATAGATAGTAAGGTGCAGGGGAGGCGGGTGTCTGTTATTCTAGTTTAGTATACAAGAGTTCCCATGGTGTGGATATGTGTTGATGATTTTGAGAGCTGCCTAACACTGTGACACGGTGTTGTATTTATCTAAGCTAATAATACTTAGTCGCATTAAGTAGTAAAAACTAGGGATTGAACCAGCTATTTGTCTGAGCTTTATTTAATTCTCTCAAGTTTTATCCAATCTCCGTTGTTGTACAAGATCTTTATTATCTTGCCGTTCTCTATGTACAGCTGAAGTGCTGACATGCAGCCGCAAACCATTCTACGAGTATATAATCTCTCACACACATACATACATACACTCCTTTTCTTTCTCTTTTTTTTATCTGAACGTGTGTCTTTTTTATGTAACTTCTATCTTTCCCAGTGCAACTTTTTTAACCACCTCTCTCTCTGTCCCACTCACTCAGCCCTCTCTACTCTCAGAAGTAGCCACCGACTTCCGGTTTAGAAATGGCAGCGTGAAGACGTGTTTGCGGCGACACTCGATTTTATTCTAACATTTTCACTTAATCGGTGTTTTTCTCTTGATAACATAGTGCGATTATTACGAATTCATTGACGATGGATATTCTCTTGTTCGTGGATACAAGTATTATGTGGTTTAGGGGTGTTATAACGGAATTATTTCCACAAAATAGCCACGGCGGCGGCCGTGTCCTAATTCCGATAATGTAACCGCGTAGGAGCCACGCTCCCATTATAAACATGGGAGTCCACGGGTAAGACCCCAGTCTACTCTAGCAAAACAAGGTGCTGAAGTCGGAGGCAACCAGCCAGGAGGCGCACCACAGCAATCAGGATGCCACGCACAAACGCAACAGGGAATATTTCTATATCTGCAAATAAGTTTGATTTCCACCATGCGACCCACTCACGTACACGTGGTTCGATTTACCGGCCTAAGACAAGAAGAAAGAGTCCAGCTTCAAATACTCGAAGCCTCCCCCTAATGCCCCGTAGAACCAGAAAAGCAGAAAATACAGCTAGCCTTAAAATAATGCACTGGAACGCGGAGGGAGTAAATACTAAGAAATTAGAATTAGAAAACGTCTTGAACGAAGAGAATGTACATGTATGCTGCCTACAAGAGACTTATCTCAAACAAGATATGGCCTTTAAGATCAGAGGCTACCAGTGTTTCCGATCTGACCGCAAAGACAGGAGAAAAGGTGGAATTCTTACCCTGGTCAAAAATAACATCCTTGCGGGCCGGATCGAAACATACATGGAAGGTGCTGAGTATCAAACACTTGAGCTCAAGTTAGAAAATACAGATTTACATCTGACCAACTATTACTGTCCGAGCGACCGCCCTCAGGCACTGGATACAGTACTACTAATAATGAAAAAATGATCATTTGTGGGGATTTTAATAGCCATTCCCAAAGTTGGGGATACGATCATATGGATCAGAGAGGAGAGAAACTAGAGGACTGGCAGGATGAGAATAGGTTCATCCTCGTTAATAAGCCAACCGACCCACCAACCTTCTACTCTAGAGCATGGCATACCACCTCGACACCAGACCTAGCCTTTCACTCACCAGACATGGAACTGAATGTTACCAGAACTGTTGGGAAGCAACTAGGAGGCAGTGACCACCGGCCAGTCTTTCTAACTATAGAAAGCCAGTCTGTAAGAGAGAGCAGCACACTGCCAAGGTGGAATTTTAAGAAGGCAGACTGGAAGTTGTATCAGCTTCGCACAAATGTTCTGCTGGAAAATCTAAACACAGATAACGACGTAGAAAAAGTAGTCCAAGAGTTGAGCAAACGCATGCTGCAGGCAGCCCTAGAAGCAGTTCCAAGAGGTGCGCGTAAACAATACAAACCGTACTGGAATTGCGATCTGGAGCAACTGCACAACAATATGGAAACAGAAAGAAAACAAGCTGAGACCAGACCTTGTCAAGAGCAGTTTAACAACTACCAACATTCAAAGGCCAAATTTCAAAGAGCCAAACTGCAGGCTAGACGGGCAAGCTGGCAAGAAAAGACAAAGTCTCTAAACTTTGAAAGAGACACAAGGAAGTTGTGGAGGTTAATTAAGCAAATTAATGATGAGAATACAGGAAGAAATGGTAATATTGCACTATGCAAAGAGGGAGCCATCCTAACAAGAAAACAGGCAGCTGACCACTTTGCAGATTCCTTTGCAGAAGACAGCAACATTAATGTCAGCCCAGAGAAACAGCGAGAGGTTCAAGAAAACAAACAACATATAAGACAAAAAGATATAATTCCTGAGGCACTGGTGGCAGCACTTACATCCAGCGAGTTAGAGTTAGCAATATCAAAGCTGAGAATGGGAAAATCACCTGGAATTGATGGTATCACCAACGAAATGATCAAGAACCTTGGAACAACTGCCAAAAAAAAAGCTGCTACAGATCTTTAATCATTGTTGGACCAGTGGCAAAGTTCCTCAAATATGGAGAGAAGCAATCACAATACCTCTGCTTAAACCAGGAAAGGACAGTTCTGATGCCTCCAGCTATAGACCGATCAGTCTTACCAGCTGCCTCTGTAAAACAATGGAACGTATTGTCAACCTTAGACTCCAATGGTACTTGGAAAGTGAAAACATTTTCACGCCGCAGCAGGCAGGATTTAGACAGTGCTACTCCACAGAAGACCAGACAACTTACCTTTCACAAGAAATTGAGGATGCCTTCCAGGAAAAGAAGCTAGTGCTAACGGCATGGATAGATCTGAAGAAAGCCTTTGACAAGGTCTGGAAAGAAGGTCTACTGAAGAAACTGAGAGACTGCAGGGTGAATGGGAGAATGTACAAATGGGTGAAAGCATACTTGTATAACAGAAGATCCCGAGTACAGATAGATGGACTTAAGAGTAAGAAAGTTTTGCTGCGCCATGGCGTCCCACAAGGAGGTGTTCTGTCCCCCACACTCTTCCTAGTCTATATCAACGACCTGCTTTCTGAACTACCCCATGGAATTAAAGCTGCAATGTATGCTGATGACTTGGTACTCTGGTGTACAAATGAAAATGCGACAGTGGCCACCAGGCTGCTACAAAGAGCCATAGATGCAATGGCTGATTGGGCCAACAAATGGTGTGTCAGCATCAACATAGGCAAATGCAGCACCACCCTCTTTACCCTTTCTCCTAAACAAAAATCAGGTGTCATGCACATAAATGGAGTACCCCTGAGAGAGGATAAGGAGCCCACATACCTCGGCGTAACGTTTGATGATAGATTAACATGGAGAAAACACATCAACAAGGCAGCAACCAAAGCCAGAAGGAGGGTAGCCATTCTGAGAAAACTAAGTGGAACCACATGGGGTGCTAGCGGGAAAATACTTAGAAAAGTTTACCAACAAAGTGTTCGACCACATCTTGAATACGGATCAACAGCATGGAGTTCGGCATCAAAAACCACATTGCAAGAATTAGACAAAGTGCAAAATCAAGCACTCAGAGTTACCACAGGCAGTATGAAATCAACACCTATAGCTGTGATGGAGAAAATGGGGATGACCCAAGCACTGAGTGAACGCAGAGACACCAAGATGCTTTTACAAGCAGAAAAGTTTCTTAGTATGCCCAGTCACCCTATGAATGAAAGATTCCAAAATTTAGCTTTGGGACGACTAAAGAGAAGTAGTTTTATCCACCAGGCCAAACGGCTCGGCAGACAAACCACTGATTTACCTGCAACTGATAGATCCTTAAATGCTGTCCCAGAACGGACCCCCTGGAGAGAGGAGTATAAGTTTCCAATACACATCAAGACTGAAGTGAAAGGGGTATTTGACAAGGAAGAACAAAACAGTGTGCAGCGCAAAACAGCCACCCTCAGTCTACTTGATGATGAATACCCGCAGAACCTTTGGGTCCGTGTTTACACAGATGGGTCAGCAGAAAGCGCAGTCAGAAACGGAGGTGCGGGAGTGTACATTGAGTATCCTAATAATACCAGGGATACAGCCAAATTACCAACGGGAAAGCACTGTCACAACTATGATGCAGAAGTTCAAGCCATCAAGATAGCGGCAGAGAAACTACTAAATACAGGGTATTTTTCACAACCAGTGGTATTCCTGACAGATGCAAAAGCAGTACTTCAGTCACTCCAGTCTGGAAAATTACCAAGCATACGGACACTATTATCCGAACTAGGCAACCGCTGTAAATTAGTAATGCAGTGGATACCTTCCCACTGTGGAGTTCCCGGAAACGAAAAAGCTGATAAACTAGCTAAGGAAGGTGCAACTGAAGAACAACCTAACATACCAGTCTCTTATCAACAGAAGAAGAGAATGATCAAATCAATCAGAATGCCACCGAAACTGGCACAAGATGATTACCATATTATGGACAGACCAGAGCAAGTCATTATCCTTCGCCTTAGAACAGGGCACAATCGACTTCGCTCCCACATGTACAACAAATTTAAGATTGGCCAATCAGCCATGTGTACTTGTGGACTGGTACCTGAAACAACAGATCACATCCTTCAAGACTGTCCCAGATTCAACACTTTCAGGCAAAACCTTTGGCCAAAAGAGACACTTGTGGAAGTCAAACTTTACGGGCCGCTTAGTGAATTACAAAAGACAGTGAAATTCATACTAGAGACAGCTTTGCAGATATAGACAATTTATTTCATGCGAACGAAAGAAGAAGAAGAAGTAGCCACCTACCCAGTGGTGTAGAATGTCCTCCGGAGTCTACAAGAACTAAAGCACCAGACGCCTCCATCTCTGAAAGTCCTGAATGGCCATGCTGCTGCTGCTGCAGATGATGTCTATGGTTGTTGTCCAGGTAATGTCGATCTAGCTCCGCAAGTTGCGCTTGGTGTTCAAGACTGCCCGAGCTGGAATGTTGGCGCAGGCGATCGAGTTCTGCCAGGTGACACAACTGCCTCTCCCTCAGCGGGTCTGGCAGACTGGTGCGCTCCAGTGTCACATCCAGAGGACTTGGCCGAAGATGATGGTGATGGTGGTGGATATGACGGTCGTCGGTGCGTAATTCTGGCATAACAAAAAGAACAGGATTAACAGTTTAAAAAAAAAAACATGAGTTATGATTTAGATTATCTTCACAGAACTCCGGACACATGCATAGGCACTCAGATTCCCCTCTCAACATATTCATCAGCACCGCGCAGTTAATAGTGCCAGTCCTATGTTGGTTAACAAGACTTCGTGTGCGTCAGGCGTGCTTCTCATGCTTGGCTGTGCAGTTCTTTACTCCCAATTCTCGTATTCTTAGCTTCCAATATCCTCATAACGTCCCATCTCTTTAATGGCAATGACAATGTCTGCGTGATCCATGGACCGGCCATCATTAATTAATGCAGCACCTGCCAGTCTATCAGCTCTTTCATTACTAACAAAACATAGATAAGGATTCTGAGAAAGATTTAGTAGCTTGTCGGGGATGAAGCATCGTAAATCGGGATTTCAGAGCTCCGAATGGTTTCTACACGATACTAATTTCAACCATCTCTTTCTGACAATCTGCCTGTTTATCGATGAATCTACCTGTCAGCCCATCTGTCTGCTTATCCATCTGTCTGCCAGTATGTCTGTCAGTGGCCCATCGGTCTATTTGTCTGTCCATCTCTTTCTATCTAACCTTCTGCTCTTTCTTTGCCTATCTAACATTCTATCTGTGTGTCTTGTCTTTTTACATATTAAAACTGCTGGTTACCCCTTCCCATTTCTCTGTCTGTCTGTCTGTCTGTCTGTCTGTCTGTCTGTCTGTCTGTCTGTCTGTCTCTCTCTCTCTCTCTGCATACACACACACACGCGCGTGGGCATTTATATATATATATATATATATATATATATATATATATATATATATATATATATATATATATAATATTTTAACACCAAACACGCACAAGAAGCTAACAAGCTGAAAGGATTTCTACTCTTTCTAAGAAGACACAGAAAGTGGTTCCCCTCGTCTTGTTTCCCTAGAAATAGCAGCAGTGGCTTAGGACGATCACATACATGGCGCGCTGTAAATAATTGTAGGCGTACTGTACTAGGATAAATATGTTTGATCGATACTGTTTCCGCATGCACGCGGCGCCCATCCACAGACACACACACACAACATAAATCGTGCTAATGGAACTGAGATTGTGCTCATGTATTGATAGTATATTGTAGTCTGGTAGTTTTAGTTTCAGCTTCATAGCAAACCCCATCTTTGCTCCGCTCCTATGCCAACGTAAAACCCACAGAATGTTTATCACAGTCCCTTGTGGAAAGATTGACAGACTGCTGTCTCAGCAAATCTAGCATACACAAGAATTAAAGCATACGGTAGCCAACCGACGTGCTAACACAAACAGTCCGACATTAGAAATACAGTTCATCATTGATGGTAGCAGAAGTCACCAACAGATCAGCAGTTGCCCACGCGATCAATTTTAATCGCATACGGGCACCACCAACATTGAGACGACAGGCATCGCGCCATTTTCTGGATCTACAATTCACATCACCACGCTGGTCACAGTCGAAAAAACATTCCAAATGAAATTCGCAGCTCACAGTGTCACGCCATGCATTAAACTCAGAAGCTGGGCGACGAAACTATATCCAGTCTACAAATGGAGCAAAAATGCATCGGCCACCGTCCGGCAGAGGCAAAAAATTTGCCTCGGCTTCAAAAAAGTGCCCCTGCCATTTTGACCGCATTGATAATGTATACTCACACACACACACATATATAGAAATAGTCTTTTTCGAGGTCTGAACTTCCCTGCAATTAAGTTTCCCCACATTTCCTCCGTTCCTGTACCGGTGCAAATCAAATGAAATGCTCTCAGTAGCCAGGTAGCAAAACCGTAGACTACCCCATCAAGGTGTTCTTTTTGTGTCGGTGCGCACAACTGCTAGCAAGGTAAAATATAGAAAGGACTCCTAACGACCGCCTTTATTTCCCGTGACTTTTTCTGGTACTCAGGTCAGGTGAACCTGGGGGGGAAAGGGGTTAAGTTAGATTTTAAACACAAATCCGCGGTTTTGAACCCAAGAGTAACAGGATCTAATATATGTTATTTAATACATACATACACCACACACACCCACACAGAATGAGACATCAACACACAGAAAGAGAGAGAGAGCGAGAGAGAGAGAGAGAGATAGCGAGAGAGAGAGACAGACATAAAGAGAGAGGGAGAGAGAGTAAGAGAGAGAGAGAGAGTGAGAGAGAGAGAGAGTAAGTGGGAGAGAGAGAGCGAGAGAGAGAGACAGAGAAAAACAGAGAAAGAGAGAGAGAGAGAGAGGGAGATAGAGAGTGAGAGAGAAAGTGAGAGAGAGAGAGTGAGAGAGAGCGAGAGACAGACAGAGAGAGAGACAGACAGAGTGAGAGAGAGAGACAAAGAGAGACACAGAGAGAGGTAGAGAGTCAGAGAGACAGAGAGAGAGACGGAGAGACAGACAGACAGACTGACAGAAAGAGAGAGAGACAGAGAGAGAGAGACAGACAGACACAGAGAGAGAGAGAGAGAGAGAGAGAGAGAGAGAGAGAGAGAGAGAGAGAGAGACTCAAATTCAGAAAAAGGGAAACAAAAATGCTTGATGAATTTTTCACCTGCACTGACAACACGAACAGCCACATTCAACAACACGTGACTGACTAGGCAACTATGTAACGTTTACGTTCATAGACAATCATCATGATTCTTGTCACCGTCACCAAGCAATTATCACCACCAGATCACCATCATCATCACTATCATCATATCATCATCACCATCATCATCATCACCATCATCATCATCACCATCATCACCACCATCATCCTCACCATCATCAGTACCATCATCATCCTCATGCATACATACCTACGCAGGCACATAAATACACACATACATACACACATACATACCGACATACATACACACACATTCACACACACATACACACACATACATAAACATATACACACACACACACACACACATTCATACATACATACATACATACATACATACATACATACATACATACATACATACATACATACATACATACATACATACATACATACATACATACATACATACATACATACATACATACATACATACATACATACATACATACATACATACATACATACATACATACAAACATACAAACATACATACATACATACATACATACATACATACATACATACATACATACATACATACATACATACATACATACATACATACATACATACATACATACATACATACATACATACATACATACATACATACATACCTACATACATACATCCCCCACCCACCCATACCCACCCACCCAGACAGACAGACAGACAGACAGACAGACACACACACATACATACATACACACATACATACATACACACATACATACATGCATACACACATACATACATATATATCATCCACCCCCACACACACGTAACCACGTCTCTAGCCCACACAAGATGTCAACAGGAAGAAAACCACGTATGATAAATAATTCAGGGAGCTGTCGACCAGGGAAGCAACCAGTGTTTATCATTACAAAGTTGATCGCGTTACATGAAGCAACGACGTTAAAAACGATGCAGAAATAAAAGAAGAGAACATCTAGAGATGCGGTGTGATTTCGAGGGGATAAAAAGAGAAAGAGAAAGAAACTCCAACGCGGAAAATCAATGATGTTATGATACAGGTTATATTTTCCAATTAAAAAAAAAATATTGCGAATAATGGGTATTGCAAAATGAGGACAGGTTTATAAAGAAAACATTTATTTACAGGGCATTAATAAATTAGATGTGAGAGAAAAGTAAAATAATAATAATATTAATAATAAAAATAATAATAATAAATAAACAGGGTAAAGGGTCACCCGCACTATTGTCTTTATCAACATTTATTTGCCGAATTGCAAATGTCTCTTAGACTTCTAAAGAACGTTGCTGGGGTTAGGGAGTTACGAAATCCGTGCTTTGGTCAACCCTCTCGCGTCCTACCACATGTTTTACCGAGAAAGACGTGGGATAAACCTGACGGAATTAAATTGTTCCTCTAGCCTTGAAACAGATTTAGTGTTTATTTTAATAGGTCTCCTTCATGCAGTTCAAACGCTTGTAGTGTTTTCTTTTTCTACGTTTAATGATAAACGTATGGTCCGGTCTGGGTCACAATTAGGGTTGTGCGTCTGTGCGCCCTCCCCCCCCCCCCCCCACAGCTCTTCTCCTGTACTGTAGCTCCCTTGGGCCAGACCCAGTCTTCCCTGGGAGTAGTTTGGGCTGTCATGCAGTGTGTGCTCAGATGTCTGTGTTTCTGCCTTGTAGTTTAACTTGGCGGAGAGGGGGCGGGGGGGGGGGGGGGGGGGGGGGCGGCTGTTTGGTCTCGAGGCATGGTGTCCGCCTCGAGTGCTAGAGGTTCCGGTTTCAATCCCCGGTAAGAGCTGGGATTTTTTCGGACTTTGACTTCTAGCAATTCCCCCTGGTCTCTGGGTAGTGAGATCGGACGCCCGTGTGCATTTTGCGCACGCAAAAAATCCTTTGGCAGTTGGAAATCGAAATGAGTAGCCTAATTGCGCAAAATTTAAGGGTAAAAATCTACATAAAGTATTGCAGGATCCTCGCCGGTGCTACAGAGCCTGTGCACTGTGCTGAGCTTCTTCGGACTCAGACTTGAGTTAAAACGGAGCACTTATGGATTTACTACCTGTGTGCCATGATGTTGATCCGTTGTTTAAACCTCCAACCTCAAGTTTAATTTGGCATAATTCCTTATTATTCAACTTCTGTAGTTCTGCCCTTGTAATTGAGTGGTTCTTTTGTTTAAATACCCCCCCCCCCCCCCTTTTTCCATTAAACGTTTATAGTTGAACTGTGCCTTATTTTTTTGTACGTATTTTCAAGATGCCACGTTCTACACTTGTAATTCAACAATTGTTATTTGAATTTAACACTAAATTAATAGTTAGATAAAAAGATGCTGTAGCATAGCCTAGTATCCTGGTTCAAAAAAGTCATATTGTTTTGTTTCGCTGCGAAAACGGTTCTTTTTTAATGCAAAAAAAATGGCCTCTCTGTATAAGGGGAGGGGCAGGGTGGGGATGAGAGTCGTTAGGAGGGGGGGAGGGGGGGAGGCAACACAAGCAGGCAGATCAGTATCATTAAAACTACCATTGTTATTATTATTTCTCGTCTTGAATGCGCCGACAAAGAGCCGTGGTTTTTCTGTGAATGATGGCGAAATAATAAGCACTGGCGACTGCTCACGCGCGACCAGGGGTCACATGACCAAAGCCGAATATGACACCCTCAAGTATGAAAAAATATCTCGACCGAGTGCTCGGCTTTCTGCTGCGATCGTATTCTTAAACGAGTCCTTCGGTTTTTTATGAAGTACCTAACACCTGGGGCGTTAGAAAACAAGCTTCTTTGTTGTTCCTTTCTTGTATCCCCTGCTCCCTTGTGTCCTTCATCACTGTTGTAGTTTAAATTTAAAAAGATATTTGCATTCGTTTTTTCTACTTCTTTTGCTCTTTCTCCGGGAACAATTACAAACCATTAGCATATTATTAAAAGCTCTCTCTCTCTCTCTCTCTCTCTCTCTCTCTCTCTCTCTCTCTCTCTCTCTCTCTCTCTCTCTCTCCCCTCCCACATTTTTAAAGAAAGAAAGAAAATAAAACAGTCTGGCGGAACCTTAAATGGCGTGCGGAAAACCAGAAACGTGCTGCAAAATGAAATGATATGTTCCAGCCATTATTAGAAGCCCATAACTTGGAGCGGGTTGGTGGTTGTGTTGTAGGGTGTGCACCCCCCACACGTGACCACTTTCACGCTTATCGATTCCACTTTGTTTCGTTTCGTTTCAAGTATCCGGGCGCCCGATATAAGATTCATGAATTTTGACATGATCCATGCTCTCAGCGCCCCGACCATGTTCGTTTCGCCTTTGTGTGTTTATTTTGTGTGCCGCCACGAAACAAAAGCAATGTACAAGATCTCCGGGGAGTGACCTATGATTAGCAGGGTTGGGGCTGGTTGACAAAGACCGCTGATGTTGCCGATTAGACGGCTAATGAGATGTGTGCACGCAGCTCCGGCATCTGAAGGTGTTATTTTGTTGTCATGGCTTTTGGCTTTTTCTGCATTGCTGATCAGTTAAAACAACTGCAAAGGACACTTGCCACATCTTGACACGTTGCAATATATACTTAACGTAAGGACCAATTTTCACGCTAGGGATAAGGTGCTTTATAAATAGACCAGTCGGCATTTAGTGGAAATAATTATTTAACAGGATATTTCCCGGTATAATCCATTCCAAAAGTTATGCCAAACTTCAAAAATATGTAACTCGGCAATCGCTTAAAATAAACTGTTGAAATTTGGCATGCAACCAGTTAATCATAATTCCCTTTTTTTTTAAATGCAAACAAACTTTTAGTTCCCATTCTGCCCTATTTGCAGTAAGTATATTTAAAAAAAAAGAAGTAAAAAACCGATTCGAAGCAAACAACTAACTCAGTACTTGTCGGCATTCAAGCATATGTGTTTGTTGTCGCAGGAGACGACTAATTTGGGACTTTCTTCGAAGTCGGAGAAGTTGGTTACAAATCCTGTCGTCTCCATGTGGGAAGCAATTTTTCGTTATTTGAAGCCACACTCTGGCTTTTGCCGGAGCGCCCTGATAATAGCCTGGCCATAAGTATGGCCTAACGGCTGAAAGGGGTTTCTGGGACCTCTCCACGGGTGATCCTCATCCGCATGGATGCACTTTGTGTTACCGGGTGTCTATCGCTTTGTGTGATGTCCTGGTGGGGTACAACTTAGAACAGAATAGAACAGATGAACAACCAACTGCACACAAAGAAGTCAGTAAAATAGATGCATACGCAAAGCTCAGGCCCTGGTTCAAAACAAAATCCAGATGGACGAACATCCAGGACTTTCCGCCGTAGCTTACGCTCAGTGAACAAAGAGGAAGAAGAAGAAGTTTCTTCCTCTTTCTTCTTTTGTTAACATCTGCTCTGTGCCGCAGTTTACCAGATGATATCTGGCTGAGCCAGGGCGCGCTCGGCTGTCTGGTACTCTATGCTGTTATTACGTCGTAGACTGTTAGTGACTCCTTCATCCAGATTCTTCTAGGTCTTCTTTTTTTTTTGTGTGTGTGCCTCTTGGTGTTTCCAGATTCATAGTGTACGCTCTTACTGTCGGCATGGTTGTATTTCCATGTACTTATAGCAGAAAATACGGAATGCCTACAGAACCACCTAAATCAAATTAGTAACAAAGGGGAGGAATATAATATGAAAAAAAAACAACAACACTGAGAAAACAGAGACAATGATAGGAAGACATAAAGACAATTCAGAAATAATATTAAAAAAACAACACCCTGAGACAAACTGAGGAATTTAAGTATTTGGAAGCAATTTTCACATCCGACGGAAAACTGGGCAAATTAGCTCCATATGTGCCAAACCTAATCAAGTAATGGGGCAACTATATCCCCTGTTGACACACAAGCAGATACCTCGGAGTACTGAACTGAATCTTTTCAGAACGATTTTTTGGCCAACACTATGCTATCAATGCAAAACATAGACACTTACATCTTCCAATGAACGTAAAATTGTGACAACAGAGATGAAATGCCTTAGAAGAGCTGCAGGAAAGACAGAATACAAAATCATGAAATCAGACGAATGCTATGAATAAACCAGTCCTACAAGTCAACAAATGAAGTGGTTTGGACACCTAACATGAATGCCCTGGTACTGTCTGCCACAGCGAGCCACACTAAAACGTTACAATAGGTATAGAGCGAGTGGAAGACCTCGCAAAACATGGAGTGATGACATTAAGAACAGCCTTACAAAAATGAACATCAGTCTAAATAGTGCTGTTGACAAAGCTCATCAAAGAATGTTACATCTCCCCTCGACACTTCGATGAGGTACAAGGTGGAAGATAAGAAGAAGAGGAAGAAGGTTGTATTTACTCGATGGCCGGACCAAAAGTCTTAGTGTCTCAATAAATATAATACTGTCCTAGTAGTTGTCCTAATCTCTTGATTTTTTCACACGACCTCGACTGGTTTTGTTGGCAGCCGTTCTTTATATGTTTATTACTGGTATCTTCCACTGGGGTATTTTAGTCAAAACATTATTACAGTACAAACACTGACTTTTACACTACCGCCTAGGCGTTGCGAACGCGATTCGTAACGCCGGGGTGCCAGGTTCGATTTTGGTCTCACAAGCGATTTGGGAGCAGATCGTTTTGTGTTAGCTGATGCAGTGGTGTATGACGGTTCAGACGAGAGATGAAAGTTCAGAAGCAATGACAAATTACTAAATGTAAAATATGCCAAGCAAAACCACAACAGCCACAAAATAGTGGGATCACGCAGCTAACTAAACAGACCCTCTGCATCCACAACCAACACGCAGGTCGCAAGAGTCGACTAAATGGGAGCTTCCTTCGAAGTTGGAGTTCATCTGCTTGAGAGGCAAGGAGCCAACAATCTGCATACATTTAAGTTACATCTGTTGAACTGATGTGCATTCTGGAACAAAACTAAAACCCAGAGCTGGACAAACAACCAGAACTTTCCAGGTGGGTTTACAGCCAATGAAACAAAGAAGAAGAAGAAGAAGAAGAAAAAGAAGAAGAAACAAATACTGTTTCTGCTGCAGATTTCTATGTTTATACCTGGTATGTTCAATTAACTAATGACGAGACATCAAACCAAACGAAAAGTAGAACTAGTCAGCTTTACATTATCACAAGCATCAAATACAAGTCAACGTTGCGGCTAGACAACCTTCATCAGCACATTTCATGAATTTACAATACCACAGACACGAACAAAAATACCACCCCCCCCCCCTTTTTTTTTCTACCATGCCAAATAATAATTACATAACTAAAATGACTATGATAGAAATCACATTTCTGTCTGACCAGTTGAATCTCTGACACGTGTGTGAACACTAGAAATAAATACTGGGCAGAAAAAGCTGTTAACGGAAAGGGTCATAACTCTGATATATTAGATTAGACTGTGCTAGATGTTAAGTTTTCTATGCGAATTAGAGCCCAGTAAATAGATAAGACGGTTCTGGATAGATTCATAATCTTCACAGTGACCTAATGCTATCGCTAAGCATGCTCACAGTACAACACTTACTGGTCTTACTGCGAGGTTCTCTGGGCCCATCCACAGTCACTTTGATGGCTTTTTGGTACAAGGCAACCTGGGGCGGGTTGGTGAACACTGCGATAGTCAGGGTGAAACTCTTTCCTGAGGACACAGATAAGAACATATTTAGTTACTGGTGTTGCTACTACTCTAGATGCTGCTGTTGCTACCACTCGTAATGCTAATACTCAACAAGAAAACAACAAAAACAACAAATACTACTACTACTACTACTACTACTACTACTACTACTACTACTACTACTACTACTACTACTACTACTACTACTACTACTACTACTACTACTACACCTAATAATAGCGCTACTATTACTATCTACTACTACTACTACTACTACTACTACTACTACTACTACTACTACTACTACTACTACCACTACTACTACTACTACACCTAATAATAGCGCTACTATTACTATCTACTACTACTACTACTACTACTACTACTACTACTACTACTACTACTACTACTACTACTACTACTACTACTACTACTACTACTACTACTACTACACCTAATAATAGTGCTACTATTACTATCTACTACTACTACTACTACTACTACTACTACTACTACTACTACTACTACTACTACTACTACTACTACTACTACTACTACTACTACTACTACTACTACTACTACTACTACTACATTATACATGGTAAAACGGAACATCTTAGTCTCCTTACAATACTAATGGGTAAGACTGGGTACTAAAGGCTTGAATTCCCCCTCCTCCTTTCCACCCCGTCGCCCACCTCGGCAAATTAGCTGCCTAGAAAATGTATAACATGGCGAGGAGGGCGTAGGCGTTTTTAAGACAGTGAGGCCATATTTTCTTAATTTGGGGAAAGGCTCACCCCTCCCCCTTTTTCATGTTTTCTTCGTGGCAAGGCGCCTTGACCACACCACCTAGTGTATGCCAACTGTTTATAAGAATGTTCAGAACATGTAACGAACTCAGGCACAGATTTGCCCAGCCACATACTAATGAGTTACGAAGCCGGACCAGGACACTGTGACTGGACGTTAATTCATGCGTGTTAACCTTTGAGACCCGTAAGTTTAAGTGGTAGTGATGTCAGATTGGTGCGACGTTGTATTGTCTCCACTGTCTTACTGGGGACCACGCGTCCTATATATTATAGATGTGAGCGGTTTTAACGACCCCATAACATGTACAACTTACCCTAACAACACCCCCTCTACCCCAAAGACTGAACCTAGGTTCGATGAGATAGTGAATTCTACGCCCCTCTAACGTAGAGCAGCCTGATCAATCATAAATGACAGGTCAGTTAATGTGAAGATGGGCGAAGCTGGGCCGGGGTTGGTTACTAGTTATGAATATTCTTCTGCGTTCATCCAAAGATGTAACTGCGTTGTGGCCAACTTGGCTGAGATATTTGCGCCTTCTAGCAGACACATCCCACTTCGGCAGGCATTCCCTTATAAGAATAAGAGTCACCCCTCATTTGGTCTCAGCGCCAAAGGTGAAGAATGGGCTCCTTTACTTTAATTGATGTTCAAAAACTTAGCTTCTAGAAACAAATTATAACGCCCAGTTTCAAAGCCTGTTTGGCATCAATTACTTGACAATTAAATAGATCTCTAGTTGTAGCGATGAGGTGCCGGGTGGTGATCTCTCTTCCCCCCCCCCCCCCCCCCCCTTCCCCACTGTCGTGCTGTCAGCGCCTGGGCTCCCGGCGTGCCCTCGTCCAATAACCAAATTAAAACAAAATGTTCGCAGTGAGGTCATGTCGTATCGCGCCATGTCTGCCCCTGTCGCGCTCACAACACACAAGGGGGAATAATAGAATTATCTAAGGGGATGACATCTCCTGCCTGGAACCACAATTAGTCGATTCGTCTGCTCAAATGTCACCCGGAGCAAACAGTTGTGGCCTCACTGTGTTTCAATAGAACAAAAAGAAGGCGGAAAAAAAAAAGGATATAGAGAGGACAGCTAAGCCCTTTCCCCACTCTTCCTCTCCCACCCAAAGAACTCCGATAAAGATCCCGGCGTTCGTAGCCACCCTCCAACCCAAAACATGGGTGCTCTTTTGAGGGTTCCCCAGAATCAATTGAGGAAATGAAACGAGTTAGGGCTCTCAAACTACAGGAAAGAATCATCCTTCTCTGTCGGGGGGAAACCCGCAGGTCTGGGTGAGGAAATCCATAGACACTTGGATTATTTTCGAGCAGGAAAAGAATTAACCCCACAGTCGTGTGACCGAAGCCCACAAAGTCACACAACATTGAGGAACCCGTACTAACGTTACGGGAACAAACGCCTTTCTCAGCGTGACCGAGTTTCTCCAAAAAAATATAAAATGCTGTAGGCAGATATAACTGGTCTCATTAAACTGGCAGCCCGTGGGTAATGTGGTCAGTAAAATGCCGGTTGTCTTTACTTTCCAGACCATTTCCTGATACCCATTATAGGCTAGAGCAGTTTTTCCCAAAGTGGGACGACGTCCCACAGGGGGCATCTGACTGTTAAATGGGTCAATTTGATTGTTGAAGGGGAGGGGAGCAATTCAAAAATGGACTCGTCCAGAATTTAAGTTCCATAGCGGACATAAGAATTTTAGAAAAGCTTAGGTGGGGCATCCTGGGAAGTAAAGGCGGCCGACGTGATGCTGACCACATCACCCACCAAATGCCGTTCGGTCTATAAATAGGGGTCTAGCCCTATATACCCAATACTCAAGAAAGGCGTGGAAAAGGGTCCTTTACTTTATGTGGGACATGGCACACAAAATGTTGGACAACACTGGTCTAGAGCCACATTATAGACTAAGTAGTATTATTTTAGTAGTATTACTTATTATTAATTTTGTTGTTGTTATTATTATTATAATTATTATTATTATAATTATTATTATTATTATTATTATTATCATTATTATTATTATTATTATTATTATTATTATTATTATTATAATTATTATTATTATTATTATTATTATTATTATTATTATTATTATAATTATTATAATTATTATTATTATTATTATTATTATTATTATTATTATTATAATTATTATAATTATTATAATTATTATTATTATTATTATTATTATTATTATTATTATTATTATTATTATTATTATTATTATTATTATTATTATTATTATTATTATTATTATAATTATTATTATTATTATTATTATTATTATAATTATTATAATTATAATTATTATTATTATAATTATAATTATTATTATTATTATAATTATTATTATTATAATAATTATTATTCTAATTATTATTATTATTATTATTATAATTATTATTATTATTATTATTATAATTATTATTATTATTATTATTATTATTATTATTATAATTATTATTATTATTATTATTATTATTATTATTATTATTATTATTATTAATAGGGCGTGCCACGCTTTTTTTTTTAAAAGGAAAAAAAAAAGTATCATAAAAAAAAAAAAAATTGGCAGGCGGTGTCTTTCTAGGAAAAACACAGTTAGTAAGAATCATAAGTGACTATAAAAGTTCACCAGAATTTGTTTATTACTGTCGCGCTGAAAAAAGTAATAACCTAGACAAAGTTGCGGCACTAAGTGTCGCTAGAAAACAAGCCCTAGCTTTTGTTTAGACAGAAGGATGACACATTTATGCTAAATGGAGCATTTTAAAAATGTAAATATCCATCTGTTTTACATGTAGAACAACCCCCCCCCCCCCCCCCCCCCCCCCCCAATCTTCCCCAGGATGACGTCACAGGACAGTCCAATATTTTCCAGACGGCTTTCTGAAGCTTTTAACTACCCCAAAAAATTTAGAACTGGGCCTAACCCCAACCGACCTACCTCCCACGAGAGAGTGCAGCCTCAATCCAACGACTGCATGCAGCCTAGGTCCCACGACAGCATGCAGCCTAGGTCCCACGACAGCATGCAGTCTAGGTCCCACGACTGCATGCAGCCTAGGTCCCACGACAGCATGCAGCCTATCTACTACCCTCTACTACTGTCTGTTTAGGAGGAAATATTGGAATACACCCCCCCCTCCCCCCCCACTTCCCCCAACAATGCAGCCTAAAATATGAGTGACAAAAAAAAAAGGACATTTTTGGATGCCAATATGTGTGGGTTCCAGGGTCGTTTTGGGGGAAAATGCACAGCATCCGCCTCAGAGGCAAGTAACCAGCAGACTGCACATAAATAAGCCAGATAAGTGGTGCGTGCAAATCTTATCTTCTGAAACAAGACCGCGGCAGAAAAACATTACCTCGGAGCTTACAGCCGGTGAACGCCAAGAAAAAGAAGAAGAAGAAGAAGAAGAAGAAGAAGAAGAAGAAGAAGAAGAAGAAGAAGAAGAAGAAGAAGAAGAAGAAGAAGAAGAAGAAGAAGAAGAAGAAGAAGAAATGAAAAAGAAGAGGGAGAAGGAGGTTAAGGAGAAGAAGAAAGAGGAAGTGGAGGAGAAGTCGAAAGATGTGGAGAAGAAGGAGGAGCAAGAGGAGGAGAAGAAGAAAGATGAGGAGTAAAAGAAGAAGAAGAGGAAGAAAACGACGAATAAGAAGAAGGATGCAAATCCAATAGGGGCCAATCCCTTAATAGTCGCTCAGCGTATCCCCCTTCCCTAATTCTCCCTCCCCCCCCCCCCTTCTCTCTCTCTCTCTCTCTCTCTCTCTCTCTCTCTCGCTCTCTCTCTACGGGATACACGCAGATATCAGATATATGTCCCCTCCGGACCCACTCCCGACCCTCTATAAGGGAAACACAAACAAAACAGTAGAACATAAAATCTCTTTCACAAAACTAAACATACAGATCATTGTAGACGTCAAAATAAAGAGCACGAATGATACATTTACGGAACTAACGCATCAGATGATATGTACGTATTGATTGTCCAGAAAGTCGTCTGCACACAGCTTTAGAAAACAGTCCAAGAGAGCCAAATGGAGGGATTATTTGAAAAGGTCAGAAAACCGAATACATTGTTAACTCCGAAAACGTACACAATCCAATAGGTTCTTCCAAAAGAATGTTTCAGGTATAAATGACTAAAGTCTTTCTATCATTGCCGGCTCGGTCTCTTTCAAA